TAATTTTACAAGTTACTCACGTGAATATACTGAGAAAAGCTCTACTAGTTTCGAGTCACAGAGGGACTCTTCCTCATGAGTAGCGTGCGCGGTAGCGGAAACGTCGCGCAGTCAACTGGCCTGCATTGGTGCTTGCGTTTTGCCCATCGCGCCCTCTGCCGGAATCCTGGGTCCTACATACACATGACATCCTGGGCCTGGGTGTCATGTGTATGTGAACTTGTATTATTGTAAACGCACACACGAAACGGGAGAAAAGGTTGGTAACGTTTAATAAAATCAGTATATCCCACGATAGTCATGATAAAAATTATTTATTTCATAGATTTTGTGCTTGAATTGAGTGACAAACGTACAAACATTCAGTAAAGAATATTTAAGGTATAAATAGTATTTAAATCATCTGATGAAACATCATTCTCTACCTATCACATACATTTAATTCTTACCTACAAAGAATAAAATTTTGCATTAAATTGTAATAAAGTGATAAAAACATGTCCCAAAATCGTCAATTTTGACAAAATTAGAATAACGTCATTGCATCTTATACATATATTATCTTAAACTATTATAATGATACGTATATATAAAGCTGAAGAGTTTGTTTGAACGTGTAGCGGCTCGGTACCCGCGCTTTCTGGGTTGCATTATATGACGAAATATGTGGACGCGAGCGCATGGCTCGCTAGTGTGGCCAGTCGCCTACAGCTCACCGCCCTACCTCGACATATACGTAGTACGTATGGAAAATTGCTTGCCCAAATATTGACCCCCCTGTAAAATCACTCTCCCAGAGACAATGGGACGAGCTGCTCTGCAGAAAAGTGAGCGAAAATCTCTTAAACTTCTCTTGTTCAAATGCAGAGAGAGCTCGCCTTTTGGCTGTGGGTGAGTGGGAGTCGGGGTTATGGCTTCTTGCTTTACCTTCGTCTAACCTAGGTACTTTGTTGGACGACACCACGTTCCGCGCTGCAATTTGTTTAAGGCTTGGAGCTTCATTTTGTTCACCTCATCGTTGTCGTTGTGGTGAAGATATCAACAGCCTTGGACATCACGGCTTGTCATGTAGCCGTAGTGCAGGCCGTTTTGCTCGACACGCAAGTATTAATGACATAATTCGTCGAGCTCTTGTCTCCGTTGGCGTGCCAGCTACTTTAGAACCTAATGGCTTGGTACGCGACGATGGCAATAGACCCGACGGTATGTCTGGCTTTAGTATGGGACGCCACTTGCGTTGATACTCTGGCGCCATCCCATCTTCCAAGCTCAGCGTGTCGAGCCGGTGCTGCCGCTGCTGCTGCCGAGAACCTCAAACGGCGAAAGTATAATAGCCTGATTAGCAATTATGCTTTCGAACCGTTTGGGGTTGAAACATTAGGGCAGTGGAGCCCAAGTGCACATCTTCTTTACAAAGATATTGTAAGGAGGATGGTTAACACTTCAGGTGATCGAAGGGATCAACGTGGCAATGCTGCCAGTCTTTTGGGCACCCTACCTCACGGTAGCGATGAGGAAAATGTTTTCTTTGAAGCCTTATGATTTATTTTTATTATTTTATGTATATATTAATAATAGTCATAAACAATAATAAACATTGTACGTAGTTAGATATAGGTAAAGAAAAATTGTGGAACCTGAATGAAAGACGTTTATTTCATTGAAATCACATTTATTTTAATCACCTCTTTACCAGCATAAAACGTACAATTCTTTTTCTTCTTATGGTGCCACTTCATTTCTGAAAGTTGGCCGTCAATTATTCATTTATCGGGTATAGCCGATAAACATCCCGCTACAATAAATATGCGTCGAGCAGAGCGAGTGAATACCCGTGGAAGTTGCTAGTTACAAATAAATTCTTTGTTTCTAAGCGTTTTAAGAGAATCCATTTGCATATTCCCATTAATAATTAATTTACGATTACTTTTTATATTTACGTCAGTGGCCACATCATTATGTTTGTATTCATGTGATTGATTGTTTTAATACAAATCATTATCGTTTGACAAACAATCATGTTACGCAGTTAACACCTAATTATGTTGTCATCGAACTCAAAACGCAAAGATCTTTTTTACTTACCCTTTCATTAAGGTTTTTAGAATAGCTTCACTTATAAGTTCGACTGCCTCGTTGGCTGAGTGGTCGCAAGTGCGAGAAGGAGTCTCAAGTTCGATTCCCAGATCGAGCAAACTATGCCTGGGTTTAAAAAAAAATGTAAATAGTAGCACGGAATCTGGAATTGTGCCCGCTATTACATGGAACTCATAACATAAATAGTGAAAAATGGTTGTTATATTGTAAAGTGGCATTAAGTGCTGTAATGTGCATACTGCCTGTCTGTCTGTCTACCCCTTCGAGGATAAAAGGCATGATGTTATGTCTCTTACAAAGAAACAGGTTCTGACTGTGCCAACAGGGCACCAATTTCTTTATAAATGAGTGAATAGATTTTGTTGAAATAATATACCTGCCCCGATCGGTACCGGTACAGGTTTCTTCCTCTATACCAGAAATATAGTTTTAATAGGTTTATTAAGCGCTAAGCTACAGTCACACCTCCTTTTTTTATGAAATTAGCCGGTAAACGAGCAGACAGATCACTTAATGGTAAGCAATCGACGCCACCTATATACACCCGAAACACCAGAGATGATGACGGTAAAAGAATTTTATAAATCGGTCAGGTAGTATCGGAGCCTATTCGATTCAAACAAACAAATAAAAAATCAAATCTTTCCTCTTTATACCATTTACACTTACATTAATCCGGGCAGGCAGTTGAACCAACTGATGTATGACTGTATCGTATTTTAAAATTAAACATGTTATAATTAAAATATAGCAGTCATCATCAAGTATAAAACGACATATAGCCACCATCTCCTGCATGAACTCCTCAAAGGTGATGTTGTGGTTGATGTACGTGAGGTGTTACAAGTGCGTTACCGGCCTTTTGGGGATTAGGAATTTGTGGATTTTTGGGGATTCAAGGATTGGAGATATTGGGGAGGAGGATAATTGGGTCTCCTGTACTCACACGACGAAACACAACGCAAGTGTTGTTTCATGTCGGTTTTCAGCTCGGTCGTGGTATCACTCCGGTCGAGTCAGCCCACTCGAGACGAAGCATGGTTCTACCACACTTTAGACTAATAGAAATTCTCTACATTAATAGAATGAATGTCTATTAATTAAAAGTCGGGAATTAAACCTGAAATTATTTTTCAAAAAACTATTTTGATAAAATGCTAATATTTGCAGTTTTGGTTTAGATGATACAACCCTGTACGCGCTGACCTACGGTCTGCCCTTGTTCCACAAGGCGCTACGCGCGTATGTCATTGAACTCACTCGGTAGCACTGATGGATTTCGATGATAGTATAGCAGATTTTTATAACAGATGGGTCGGGGATTGGTCAACTTAGAGGACTCGGTGTGTCTTTCAGATGCCGATGGTGGCCCCTGAGGAGGTAGAAATCCTACATTTCTTATTATTTTTCCTCAAAGAGCTAGGCGACTTTTAAAGGTTTCTCCCCGTCAACAAAAAAAGGTCCACTAGTTACAATATTTTGGTATCAAATGACTTTAATGAAAGGTAAATAAATAATGTGGTTGGCTGTCAGGTAATGCCTTAAAGTATTAAGTCGGCATTATGAAGAAGAAATAAATAAATATTTCCATAAAATTGTACTTACCCAAATTGAACAAAAGTAAGTTATCCACACTAACGTTTTTCACAAAAAACTCAATCTATTATAAAAGTAGGTAATTACTACAAATAATACATTCAGGCTTTTGTGAATACACAAAATTTATGTAATTGTTAATACACAAAAAATATACTTAAATAGTTACAATGTTAGATTAGACAAACAATTTTATACAATGTTTGGGATCATTCGATTATTTTGAACTTTCGTTTTAATTAATATGTATAGAGCTGCGGTCTGTCAGTTTGTATGAGATAATTACTGAGATAAAGGTGAACCAGTTTCTATGTGACTGACCTTTCTCTTACAATAAAATTGACAGAATAAGGCTGTAGACAGAGAAATTGTATTTTAACTACATTCCAACTTCATTCTATGAATTTTTTTTTATGCCGACAACGTATGACCTCTGTGTCTAGCCTGGTGATAAGCCATAAGCAATCAATTCACTTTGGACTTGAAGACATCCAGGATTCAGGAATTTGAGGACAAAGTCAAAGTTATGCAGTTAAGTGTCAGTTGGCGTACAGTTCTAAAATGAGTGTAAGGTGAACGGCCTCACAGACAACTGACGTGAAACAACGGTTGTGAGTGAGGTTACCGGAGGCCGAACTATCCCCCCCCCCCCGTCCCAAATCTCCTCAATCCCTGAATCCCCGACGTTCTTCAAATTTCTAATCCCCAAAGGATCGGTAACGCACTTGTAACGCCTCTGGTGTTCCAGGTATCCGTCACCGACACTGATTGCTTTGTTTACCATCAGGTAATCCGTCTGCTCGTTTACCGGCTTATTTACTTATATTTGTCTGTTTATAATAATTATGTTCAAATGCGGTCCATGTGTCTAGAGCCTTATTATATTTTGATCTAAGCTAAGTTTATAGTTTATCAATCAGTGGCGTAATATTTACAAATAGTTGTAAGTAGGTTAATTGAGGGCGCACGGTCAAATTACTGTTACAGATATTACAGCTTTGTTGTTCTGTAATAAATATAACATCGACCCAACAAAAGAAAACTTTAATGTTCTGGCTGGCTCTATATTTAGGTATACAGATACTTATTTTCACAGTAATAATAATAATAAAAACAAAAAAAAATAAATTGAACCAAAATTACTTTATAAAAAAAGGTACTTAAAGGACCTTTATAAAAAAAAAATCAAAAAGATGAATGTAGTCAGAGCCTTACTGTTAAAAGAAACTTGAATGTCGGGGAAGTACCACCTTCTTATAAAAACACTAACGTGAAGTGGAGACGTATATTACTGCGTTTCTTCTGGTAAGTGAGATTTAGTCGACCACGACGCGTTGATATTAAGGCACCTTTTGTTTGAATGACAAATGTTTTTTGTGTACCATGAGAGGTAGGTTATTAGAGGCTTAATTAACCATTCGCGTTCGAAAGGTCGGCAACGTATTTATTATGAGGCGAGGGTATGGCTGGAGTCCAAGGGCTGCTGGATCAGAGCCCGCGTATACTCTATATGCCATTAAAACAATATTAGAGGGTTTACTTAATGAGTTGAGTTAGAGTAGAAAACTGACCTCGTGCCAAGTGAATAGGTATCAATACATAGTATAAAACAAAGTCGCTTTCGCTGTATGTCCGTATGTATGCTTAGATCTTTAAAACTATGCAACGGATTTTGATGCGGTTTTTTTAATAGATAGAGTGATTCTTAGGGAAGGTTTGTATGTATAATACATGCATATTGCACCCGTGCGAAGCCGGGGCGGGTCGCTAGTATTTATTTAAAACACTAGGATTATCTCCTGTGTAGTGGGAGCATTTATACACACAACATACACAACTGACTTTGTAGGTATCTATAATGTTATTTTATATTAAACACAAATAAAACAAATGGGTAAAAATATTTCAATAATTTAATATATTTACACTTATTAATAATAGTTACTTATTAACTAATTTCATTAACTAAATATTTAGTTAGTAGTTTTATCACTATTGATCACTATTCTTGTATGACACTTTTGCTTTCGATGCAACCAATTATAAAGTTCCAAACATCCCACTTATTCCAAGTTAAATATACACCATAAAATATAATTATTTCGTTTTCGTCCCGCGGCAAAACAACTTGCCATTATCATTTTTTTAAGTTTAAAACAATTATTCATGGTAATACGCACATGGAATACTATCAGACTTAATGTGGTAATGATGAGAAATACCTCTTCGAGAATTACATGGCGTGATGTTTTGATAATGTACTATGAGTATTTGTGCCATTTCGAAGTTTGAAGCAATGGTTCACCAGTTATTTTGGTTTTAAATAACTTATTTCTTTGTAAAACTATTGTGTTACCGAACGAAATATATTTCAAGGTGTATAAATTAATAGTCTATTATATCTATATATTTACAATCCACTTATCACTGACGTCACATTACCATATACCGAAGTACCTTATTTCTTAAACATAACTATTTACAGTCTTATAATAAAGACCTGTTGTTTCTACATAGTCTATGTAGTAATTAGGTTGCTGGTTAAGCGTCTATTTATTTCCTTCTAAAAACCTGCACCTGCACCATAAAAACCATGCTCATAGGTTAACAAAATGTATCTATAATGTCCATTCAAGAGCGTGATTTATTACGTCATAATTTTTCTACAAAAATTAGTTATATTGTTTCTATAAACATCTAATAGATGGCGCTGTTTTAAAGTGTTATCTTATTATGTTCATAAGTGGTTCAGTGCTTAAAGTTTCCTTCACGTTTATTCTTTCACAAGTGAATCCCAAGCCTTTTCTTCTAGATGATATCCAGTTCCAGTAGAGAATTCTCGCAGAATGTGCTAGAAGGAGGAGCCCAGATAGTACCAAGGTTAACTGGACTCCCAGCAGTATGTATGGCGCATAGACGTGCATCAATCGAAGAGTCGCGATTTGATCGTCTGCTAGTTTTGGTTGGACCTGGGAAAAAATATTTAATTTCAGTTGTAACACTTAAGATAACACGCGTTTTCTTGTAATCTAGATGTACCTAGATAATACCTACATTTTTCTCGTAGCAAATCGCTGCAGAGTAATTTTTCATATACTACGTATTTTATTATTTTTTTCAATTTGATTTGTGCTCGTAGTTACTTAACTACCAAAAAATTACAATTTACTTATCACTCAAGTGACAGCAGTTTATTTTAGGTTCAAAAACTATCTTTTAACGAATATCAGGAGTTTTTGAGAGCACTTCACGTCTAGGTACTTGACACCTTCTAGCCTTCTATTACTGCCCATGTGAACATTTCTGTCGTATAAGCAAGTGAAGTTAATATAAAATACTCACAATTTTTATGTTGACGATGGGCACGAACATATCGGAGTACTTGGTGAGCTTGGAATTGAAGCTGACGTCGCGCAGCAGCACGTTCACCTGCACCGAGAACTTCGTCGCCATCACCAGACCGATGATCTGGAAGATATGTGATAAAAGGTAGTAAGAGAAAGTTATGTACTTTAGCCCCACGGAAACCCGACGTGAAACAACGCTTGCACAGTGTTTCGTACTGTGAGTGAGGTTACCGGAGGCCCAATTACCCCTTCTCCAATCTCCCCTATTCCTGAATTCCCAACAACCCTCAAATCCCTAATCCCCAAAAGGCCGGTGACGCACTTGTAACGCCTGTGGTGTTCTAGGTGTCCATGGGCGACGCCTATTGCTTACCATGAAGTGATTCGTCTGCTCATTAAAC